TTTATTTTCTCCTTACTAGACATTCAATTTATAGTATTGAACACTATAATACCATAGATTAATATAGATGCGACATACAGGCTGATTTTGCAAAACCACCCTTGAACAATTGAGAAACCGAAATAGGCCAAAATCGAAAAATCGAAAAGTTAAAAATTGAACAATTTATAAATTGAGAAATTGACAATCAAAATATCGAAAAATCCAAATCTCGATAAATCGAGAAATCAAAAAACCTAAAAATTCGAAAAATTGAAAAATTGAGAGATCAAAAGAACGAGAAATCGAAAAGTGATGAAATCGAAAAATCGAAAAATAGAAAAATCGACAAACAAAAAGTTAAAAGTTGAAAAATTGAAAAAGCGGAAAAATAAAAAAACGAAAAAATGGAAAACTGGAAAAACTGAGAAACCGAAATAGGCCAAAATAAAAAATTGAAAAACTGATAAATCGAAAACATGAACAATCAAATTTCGATAAATCGGGAATGAAAAATTAACAAATCGAAAAATTGAAAAACCGAACATCTAAAACCAGGACGTCGAAAAATCGAAAGATTAAGAAATATTGAAAAATTAAAATATCAAAACATTGAAAAATCTAAAATTTAAAAATCCAAAAATGAAAAATCGAAAAAGTAAAAACGTAGACACATCGAAAAATCCATAAGTCAAAAATAGAAGAGCCGAAGAATTGAAATATTGAAAAACCCTAAAACTGAAAAATCAAAAAATCAAAAAATTGAAGTCGAAAAATAGAAACCCTAAAAAATCAAAAAATTGAAAAATCAAAAAATTAAAAAATTGAACAAAAGGAAAATCGAAACATCGATTGATTGAAAAATCGAAAAATTGAGAGTTTATGAAAGTCAAATTTGAAAAATTAAAAAATCGAAAATTTGACAAAATGACAATTGAAAACAGAAAATCTAAAACCAGGAAGTCGAAGAATTGAACTGAAAAATCGAGAAATCGAAAAATCTAAAATTTTAAAAATTTATAAATCTAAAATTTAAAAATCTAAAAATTGAAAAAGGTAGACACATCGAAAAATCCACAAGTCAAAAATAGAAGAGCCGAAGAATTGAAATATTGAAAAATCCTAAAACTGAAAAATCGAAAAATCAAAAAAGTGAAGTCGAAAAATGGAAACGTCAAAAAATCAAAAAATTGAAAAATCAAAAAATTCAAGAATTGAACAACAGGAAATTCGTAACATCGATTGATTGAAAAATCGAAAAATTGAGAGTTTATGAAAGTCAAATTTGAAAAATTAAAAAATCGAAAATTTGACAAAATGACAATTGAAAAACAGAAAATCTAAAACCGGGAAGTCGAAAAATCAAAAGATTAAGAAATCGAAACATTTGAAAAATTCGAAAACTTGAATAATTCAAATATCGAAGAACTGCATTGAAAAATCGAGAAATTGAAAAATCTAAAATTTTAAAAATTAAAAAATCTAAATTTTAAAAATCCAAAAATTGAAAAAGGTAGACACATCGACAAATCCAGAAGTCAAAAATAGAAGCGCCGAAGAATTGAAATATTGAAAAATCCTAAAACTGAAACATCTAAAAACTGAAAAGTCGAAAAATCAAAAAAGTGAAGTCGAAAAGTAGAAACCTTAAAAAATCAAAAAATTGAAAAATCAAAAAATTAAAGAATTGAACAACAGGAAAATCGAAACATTCCAAGGTCAAGAAATGGGAAAATTAAAACATCGATTAATTGAAAAACCGAAAAATTGAGTTTATAAAAGTCAAATTTGAAAAATTAAAAAATCGAAAATTTGACAAAATGGCAATTGAAAACAGAAAATCTAAAACCGGGAAGTCGAAAAATCAAAAGATTAAGAAATCGAAACATTTGAAAAATTCGAAAACTTGAATAATTCAAATATCGAAGAACTGAACTGAAAAATCGAGAAATCGAAAAATCCAAAATTTTAAAAATTAAAAAATCTATAATTTAAAAATCTAAAAATTGAAAAAGGTAGGCACATCGAAAAATCCAGAAGTCAAAAATAGAAGATCCGAAGAATTGAAATATTGAAAAACCCTAAAAATGAAATATATAAAAACTGAAAAATCGAAAAATCAAAAAAGTGAAGTCGAAAAATAAAAACATTAAAAAATCAAAAAATTGAAAAATCAAAAAATTAAAGAATTGAACAACAGGAAAATCGAAACATCGATTGATTGAAAAATCGAAAAATTGAGAGTTTAGGAAAGTAAAATTTGAAAAACTAAAAAATCGAAAATTTGACAAAATGACAATTGAAAAACAGAAAATCTAAAACTGGGAAGTCGAAAAATCAAAAGATTAAGAAATCGAAACATTTGAAAAATTCGAAAACATGAATAATTCAAATATCGAAGAACTGAACTGAAAAATCCAGAAATCGAAAAATCTAAAATTTTAAAAATTAAAAAATCTAAAATTTAAAAATAAAAAAATTGAAAAAGGTAGACACATCGAAAAATCCAGAAGTCAAAAATAGAAAAGCCGAAGTATTGAAATATTGAAAAATCCTAAAAATGAAATATCTGAAAACTGAAAAATCGAAAAATCAAAAAAGTGAAGTCGAAAAATGGAAACGTCAAAAAATCAAAAAATTGAAAAATCAAAAAATTAAACAATTGAACAACAGCAAAATCGAAACATCGATTGATTGAAAAATCTAAAAATTGAGAGTTTATGAAAGTCAAATTTTAAAAATTAAAAAATCGAAAATTTGACAAAATGACAATTGAAAAACAGAAAATCTAAAACCGGCAAGTCGAAAAATCGAAAGATTAAGAAATCGAAACATTTGAAAAATTCGAAAACTTGAAAAATTCAAATATCGAAGAACTGAACTGAAAAATCGAGAAATCGAAAAATTTAAATTTTAAAAATTAAAAAATCTAAAATTTAAAAATCTAAAAATTGAAAAAGGTAGACACATCGAAAAATCCAGAAGTCAAAAATAGAAGAGCCGAAGAATTGAAATATTGAAAAATCCTAAAAATGAAATATCTAAACACTGAAAATCGAAAAATCAAAAAAGTGAAGTCGAAAAATAGAAACCTTAAAAAGTCGAAAAATTGAAAAATCAAAAAATTAAACAATTGAACAACAGCAAAATCGAAACATCGATTGATTGAAAAATCGAAAAATTGAGAGTTTATGAAAGTCAAACTTTAAAAATTAAAAAATCGAAAATTTCACAAAAAGACAATTGAAAAACAGAAAATCTAAAACCGGCAAGTCGAAAAATCGAAAGATTAAGAAATCGAAACATTTGAAAAATTCGAAAACTTGAAAAATTCAAATATCGAAGAACTGAACTGAAAAATCGAGAAATCGAAAAATAGAAAATTTTAAAAATTAAAAAATCTAAATTTTAAAAATCGAAAAATTGAAAAATCGCATAAGTAAAATAATCGACAAATCGAAAAATCCAGGAGTCAAAAATCGAAAAGTCGAAGAATCGAAATATTGAAAAACCCCAAAACTGAGATATCGAAAAACTGAAAAATGAATGAAAAACTGAGAATCTGATAATCTGAAAAATCAGAAAACAGAAACATCAGAAAACTGAGAACCTAAAAAGTCGATAAATTGAGCAATCGAAAAATCCAAAAAGTGAAGTCGAAAAATCGAAACCTTAAAAAACTAAAAAATGAAAAATCGAAAAATTAAGGAATCGAAGAACAGGAATATCGAAACCCTCGAAAGTCAAGAAATGGGAAAATCAAAACATCGATTAATTGTAAAATCGAAAATTTGAAAGTTTATGAAAGTCAAATTTGAAAAATCGAAAAATCGAAAAGCTGAAAAAACGACAGCTGAAAAACAGAAAATCTAAAACCGGGAAGTCGAAAAATCGAAACATTTGAAAAATTGAAATATGGAAGAGCTGAAATGAAAAATCGAGAAATCGAAAAATCTAAAAAGTGAAGTCGAAATATCGAAACGTTAAAAAAATCGAAAAATTGAAAAATCAAAAAACTGCAAAATCGTAAGATCGAAAAATTGAATAATAAGGAAACTGAAAAATCCCAAAACTGAACTATTCAAAAACTGAGAAATTAAAAAATTGAAAAATCGAGAAACCGAAAAATCAAAAAAGTGATGTTGAAAAATCGAAACCTGAAAAAATAGAAAACCTGAAAAATCGACAAATAAAGAGTTTATAAAAGTCAAAAATCGAAAAATCGACATATTTAAAAAAATTTAAACAAGAAGAATTAAGCAGCTTGTAATATTTTGGTAACTCTAGTGTCAATTTGTCGAAAGTAAAACGTGTCGTTAAAAATATTGACATTTTTCTATTGTAGTTAATTTTATTCCCAGTTAGGAACAAACACTATTGCCAACATAAGTCGTCGAGTCCTCAACCGTCCTTTAATTTAAACTATGACGCTTCTCTACGTTCTCTGATAACACTTTACCATTTACAGTAATTACACTGAATTTTTTATGAATCTGTCTAGTTGCATAAGAGTTGTTATTCCAGTGTAATCTTAGTTATTTTTATTTGAAGTTGCTCAAGGACTACCACTTAGAACGCATTTTGTTAATCTTAAAATTAGCGAAAATCGAATATTTTGACACATTTCGGAAAAGATGTGGCCATCCAAGACAAAAGAAAACTTTCAACCCATAAAATTGCCTAATCCGTTACAACAGCCACTCTAATTGATTTTTGACCCAACAAGCCATCAAACCGGCATTAATACCACCTGCTCGTCCACCATGATGAAACAATCACCCATATAAACCCAGCAGCCATCCACTGCAACACTAATTGTACCTCTCGTACAAGCATCCTTATGCAACTCTCTCTTCATTTTTATTGCCACTTTACGCAACACCTCATGCCAATACTTTACGCTAGATTAATTCCTTTCTGGGAACAACAGCCATAAAATCGCCTCAACCACCCATAATGAGAACCCGCACGAAATTAGTTCCCATCATAACTAATAGCGTGAAGCAACCAAAACAAACAACTTTCATTGCAAATAATTCTTTACTGGTTCTTTTGTTGTGCTAAAAGGTTGTAATGGGCGGCCGGATTACTCGCACAAGGACATTGCATTTCCAGGACGACTTTATGAGGATGTCTGTTCTGCTTCTCTGCCTGTCCTGCGTGGAACACTTGCAGAACCAGCTGGCGACGGCGCTCCTCCTCGGCGAGGCCTTCGGCTAGTTCACGCTCTAGTTGCTGCTTTTCGGCTCTCTGCCAACAAAAAGGTTAATGTCGAGCCGGTTAATCGACTTAGAAAAACTGTTATTTGGGAGATGTGAGCTGAAACCACGAAATTTGAAAGCAAATGGTAGTGAAGAGTATACTTTTACTGCACATTACCGTCTGCTCTGCACGTTCTTCTATTTGTTTCTTCAGGTGGCCCTTGTACGTCTTCAGCTCCTCCGAGCGCAATCTGTCGGTCTCCTCTTGCAGTCTTGCGTTCATGTCACAAGCGATTTTCAATAACTCGTTTTCGGCCTGTTGCAGCTTCAAGTAGTTTTGGGCTTCTTGTTTCTTGTATTCCAACTGCTGGGCGCGTTCTAGGAGCACGTTCTACGACAACTTGCCAGTTTTTGGGTTTTGGTTCAACGATACTCACCTTCTGCAGCTCTTGTCTGGCTTTTAACATCAGACAACGCGCTTCGTCTTGCTTCTTCTCGGCCATCCTCCTATCCTCCAGTAACCACTGATCTAACTGCTCCTCCTCCCTCTTTCTTTCTTTCTCCAGTTCCTTCAGGTGCTGCTGATGAATCAACAACGAGCGTTTCTTGGATGCCCTAGTGTCTTCCTCCTTCCGCATCTCCTCGTCATACTCCTTCTGCCTCAACTCATATCTTATCGTCCGGTGAAGATTCTCAATGCTCTTCCTTTCAGCAATGCATTTCTGGTGTATGGCAATCTGTTCCATAAGTTCTTTACGCATCTGGTCGCGTTTTCTTCTCTTTTCGTCAAGCTTTTGTATCTCTTCGCGTCTAATTTGTTCGCGGAGTTTAACCAACTCCACGGCCTCTTCAGCAGCCAATCTCTCTGCTTCTTGTTGCACGAGTTGTATACCCTGTATCTGTTTATCCAGCACTTCCTTGGTTTCCATCGCCGCCTGGTGTTTCTTCACAACTTCACCCACTTCCCTCTCCATCTGCAAACCAACAAGTTACAATTATCACGTAAATCACACTTACTTGAGCCTGTTGGTTCTTCATCGTCACTGCGGCGTAAAACTTGTCCGTCTCCCGCTCCGTCTCTTTCCGCAGCTCATTTTGCTTCATCTGCTCCAGCTGCACCTTCTGCACCTCCATTGCGTGTTTCTTCATCAGCAAATTCCTCACTTCGTCGTCGTTGTTTCTAAACAAGACGATTCACAACGGTGCCGTGGCTACAATTCACTTACATCCAGTGCTGCATTTTCTTTTTCCTTGCCTCTTCCAGCAGCTGCGCTTCTCGTTGGAGCCGATGTTGTCGCCCCGCCTCTAACTTTTCTTCAGTTTTGGACTGCGCCACTTGTTGAGATCCGCTGATCGTTTCTCGGACGTGTTGTCGTTCCTCCGAGCACAGCAGCTGTCGTAGCTTCTCACGCCGCCTCTCGACGGCGTCCTCGTACGCTTGCATCTTCTCGTGGAAGCGGTCTTTGACTTTCGCCGCGAAGGTCCGTTGTTCTTTGCATTTCTTGTCTCGGATTATCTTCTCGGTTTGTCTGTTCAGGGCGGTTTCGTCTCTTTCCAGGTCGCGGAAGCCTCGCATGTGTTGGCGGTGGAAGAGGCGCAAGAGTTCGGTGGTGTCTCTGATCTTTTCAAACTGCAAGCAGCAGGGTTAATGGTTTGGTGTGGGGGAGACTTACGTGGCCATAAGCGCCTGGTTTGAGACTAGGGAGGAGGACGTCTACCGTAGGTCCGTTGGATCGCCGTATCGGCCGCCTTGCATGATTTGGTACGTCCATGGTACCCCAAAAACCCTTCTAAAAATAACCCCTAAAGTCTAATACTTTGACAATACTACTACTGTCTACTAATGAACATGGCCAAGTAAGATCGATCGTCTGAAAAAATTTGGTTTTCAAACTATGTTATTCGAATCTTAGGAAAATCCAAAAACTGTTGGTCAGAAAATAGATAAATTGTTAAACGAAGGATCTACAAAGTATTAATCTGGTTGCAAAAGCTCCACCTGAATAAATCATTTCATTGGCTCAGAAAAGAGTGGGGCGGAGTTTATAATTGTACCACATTGTGTCTATTTTCGGAAAAGTGATCCTTGGGAAAAAAATTAGTAAAAAATACGATTCTAACGATTATCAAAATAGAATTCAATCCCAATTAGAGTAAGTAAGAGAAGTTGGTGAAATGAATAAAGGCGAAGGGCGGGGCTGAATTTAGCTTTTCTCTACAAAGTCTTATAAGCAACCCCCACCCACCCACCCCCTCTTCATTCTAGTAACTACCCACAATATTGTTCAGTCTTATCTCAGCAAGTATTAGCCCCGCCCACCCACCCTTTATTTTCTTATACGGTGTATCATTTGCCAAAATTATTATCTTAGTATGTACTAGTCCCGCCCACGCCCACTGTTTCCATTCAACGATTTTATTTCTGCTCAGTAAAAGATCCACCAGAATCGCCCATTGAAATATCGAAATATTTAGAAATTTCAAAAATTTCGAATTCCATTACGAATATTTCCAAAATGTTGCTCCGTGACCATAAACGCCGAATCGAGAGATAAGGATTTTGCAGTTAAACTCCGCCTCTTGACTCACAACGAATAAAAAAAAAAGAGCACACTTGAGATAGGGCGGGTGGGCGGGGCTTACGCTTTGCTCTTTTTTCTTAATATGTGTAGAATTCTTTTTTGTTTAACTGCAAGATACTTATTTTTCTGTGAGAAATTACCATGTGAAACATGTTCTTAAGTAATCGTTCAAAGGAAAACTATTTGCATTAAGTAAGAAAGAAAGCCACAAGATAAGCCCCACCCATTCGTTTCGACCTCCATCGTGATGAATTTTGATTCGTTGTCAGACCGAGGGGCGGAGCGCAATTACATAATCGATATTTCCCTACTTTAAACACGTTTTAAGTTTCTTGTTGTAAAAAGAAGTCTACACATATTAAGAAAAAATGGCCAAACTTAAGCCCCGCCCACCCACCCTATCTCTGTTGTGCTGATTTTTTTATTCGTCGTCGTCAAGAGGCGGAGTTTAACTGCAAAATCGTTGTCTCTACAGGAAATAACAAACATGTTTTTGAGTATCGTGTTGTTCAAAGAATACTATGTACATCAAGAAAAAAAAGCACAATATAAAACCCCGCCCACCCACCCCCTCTAAATTGTGATGATTTTTTTATTCCTAGAAGGTTAAAACACGTGTAAAATGGCAATTTTTTTAAGAAAATATGGATTTTGCTATTAGGCTCCTCCCTTAAGTCTGCCAACGAATGAAAAAAAGTATGGGTGGGACTTAATTTTTAGCTTTAATTTTCTCTTAATACACATAGTATTCTTTGAATAACATGATGCTTAGAAACACGTCTTATATGGTAATTTCTTGTAGAGAAATTACAAGGATCTTGCAGTTAAATTCTGCGCCTTTGGCTCTCGATGTTTAAAAAAATCATCACAATTGAGAGAGGGTGGTGGGCGGGGCTTATGTTTTGCCTGTTTTCTTAAAATACGTAGTCGTCTTTTCAGAACAAGAAACTTAAAACATGTTTAAAATGGTAAATTCTTCTAGACAAATATGGATGTTGTAATTAAGCCCCGCCCCTCGATCTGACAACGAATGAAAAATTTGTCACAATTGAGAATTGAGATCGGGGCTGGTATGGGTGGGGCCTAATTCTGGTTATATTTTTTTCTTAATATACAAAGTATTGCTTGTACTACGCGACACTAAAAAACATGTTTTAATTTCTCGTAGAGAAATAAGGATTTTGCAGTTAAGTTCCGCCCCCTTGGCCCACGACGAATAAAAAAATCATCACAACGGAGACAGGGCGGGTGGGCGGGGCTACATTTTGCCTTTTTTATTAATATGTGTACTCTTCTTTTCACAACAAGAAATTTTTAATACAGTAAATTTTTGTAGGAAAGTTTCGATTTTACAATTAGGCTCCGCCCCTCGGTCTGATGTTCATCACGATTGACATCGAGACGGATGGGATGGCTTCTCTTTTAGTTTTCTTTCTATAACATGATTACTTTAGAACGTATATCACATGGTAATTTCTCGTAGAAAAATAACTATTTTACATTTAAGCTCCTCCCCTCTGTTTACGACGAACAAAAAAATCATCAGAATTGAGATAGGGTGGGTGGGCGGGGCTTATATTTAGCCTTTTTTTCTTAATATACGTAGCAATTTTTCACAACAAGAAACTTAAGAGATGGTTAAAATGGTTCATTTTTGCAAGGAAATATAGATTTTGCAATTATGGGGCGGAGCCTAATTGCAAAATCGATATTTCCATATACAAATTTTCCATTTTTAACATGTTTTAAGTGTCGTGTTGTGAAAATAAGTCTACACATATTAAAACAGAAAGGCAAAATGTAAACCCACCCACCCGCCCTATCGCAATTGTGATGATATTTTTTATTCGCCGAGAACCAAGAGGGCGGAGCTTAACTGCAAAATACTTATTTTTTTACAAGAAATTAAAAACATGCTTTTGAGTATCATGTCGTTCAAAGAAAACTATGCATATTAAGAAAAAAAGGCAAAATATAATCCCCGCCCACCCGCCCCATCTCAATTGTGATGATTTTTTTACTCCTAGAAGCTTAAAACATGTTTAAAATGGCTTTTTTTAAGGAAATATGGATTTTGCAATTGAGCTCCTCCCCTAGGTCTGCCAACGCATGAAAAAAAAAAAAGTATGGGTGGGACTTAATTTTTGGCTTTAATTTTTTCTTAAAACACATAGTATTCTTTGAATAACACGATATTCAGAAACACGTTTTACATGGTAATTTCTTGTAGAGAAATTATAAGGATTTTACAGTTAAATTCCGCTCTTTTGGCTCTCGATGTTTGAAAAAATCATCACAATTGAGATAGGGTGGGCGGGCGGGGCTTATATTTTGCCTTTTTTCTTAATAGTCGTCTTTTCAGAACAAGAAACTTAAGACATGTTTAAAATGGTAAATTTGTATAAGGAAATCTCAATTTGCAATTAGGCTCCGCCCCATAATAGCAAAAGCAAAACTTAAAATGAATCACGGAAATGGAGGAATATTGGATGGGCGGGGTTAATTATTCGGTTGAGTGGGAAGGGGAACTAATAGAACCTAGGTTGTTAAAAAAAGAAGAGACAGCGCTAATCGTAATTTTTTGTTATACTATATGCTATACGGATGGGTGGGCGGGGCTAATTTTAATTTCTTTCCACAGAGTCTTTTATAAGCAAGCAATATTATACTATAAGAAAAATTGTATTAAAAAAATATTTATTCAACTTTCGCAGTGCCAATAACATGATTGACCAAAACAGAATAGGGGTGGGTGGGCGGGGCCACTTTCGACCTTGTTTTAAATGTTAGATTCTACCGTTTGTCAAAATAGAATTCAGTTGCCATTTTACAATAAATAAAAGAAGTTGGTGAAATGGAGGCGTGGTGGGTGGGCGGGGTTAATTATTCGGTAGAATGAGAATGAAAACTAATAGAACCTAGGCTGTTAAAAAGAAAAAAAAAGGCGCTAATCGTATGCTACAAGATTTAGTTCTTATTTCAGAAGACAAAAAATTCTCCTGGCTTCACCTACCCTGTGCAGCTCCTCCTTCGCCCTCTTCAATTTACAGTACAGCCTCTTGCTTTTCCTCCACCAGCTTCTTGTCTCCTCTAGTTCTTAAAAAAAAAACACCGAATTTTTGAGCTTACCAGAAGAGTTTGGAGGTGGAATAAAACAATTATTTTGTATGAAAAATACTTTATTTATTGTCAGTCGGACTGGTACAAGGACACGTTTGCTTAGTCAAAACACGTCGAAAAGGATGCACGTGCTCTGGCGCCTGTGCCCTCACCAACTCCAAGATGTACTGTCGCCGACGTTCCTCTTCGGCATAAGTCTCTGCTAAGTCTCGCTGCAGCTGCTCCTTTTCCAGTTTCTAGTAAAAAACCACCAACAAATCACATAGTTGAAACCCCGCCCACTTACCCTCTTCTCATTCGTGTATTCCATCTGCCTCTTCAACTCCTCCCTATACTCCTTCACTTGCTCCGCCTGCAGCCTGTCACTCTCCGCCTGCAACCTCTCATTGGTCTCGCACGTCATTCTAATCAACTCGTTCTCGGCTTCCTTCAGCTTCGACTGCTTCTCGGCTTCTTGTTTCTTGTACTCCAGTTGTTGTGCCCGCTCGGCCAACACGTTCTACAACAACCAACTACAATTTTGTCTTGTCGTGGCTCCACCTACCTTCTGCAGCTCCTCCTTCGCCCTCTTCAACTTACAATACGCCTCCTCTTGCTTCTCTTCAACTAACTTCTTGTGCTCCGCCAGTACTCTCCTCAAATGCTCATCTTCCTTCTTTCTTTCCTCCTCTAGTTCTTTCAAGTGTTGGCGATAAATCGCAGCCTCGCGCCTGGCTTTGGCCGTGGTCACTTGAATCCCGTGTACCTCGCGCTCGATCTCGCGACTCGCCAACTCAGCCATAGCTTTATTTAGAGCGTCCTCTTCGGTCTTCCTCTGCGCTATGTACTTCTCCTGGAGGAGAATCTGCTCCTTGAGCTCCTTCGCCACTTGTTCGCGTTTTCGTTTCTTCAACTCCAGGGTTTCCATTTGCTCGAGCTTGATTTCCTCTTGGAGTTTGATCATTTCTAAGCGGTCTTCAACTGCGATTTTTCCCGCTTCTTGTTTAAGGAGTTGCTTGCCGAGGATTTGTTTCTCCCACGTCTGCATGGTTTCTTTCTGGGTGAGGTGATTCTTCAGCAAGGTTTGCATTTCGCTTTCAGCCTGAAAGAACAAGAGTGACTATTTGGGTACGACTTGACCAAACGTACTTTAGCTTGTTGTTCCTTCACCATCAGGTCGTACCACATACTGTTGAGCTCCCTCTCCGCCTCTCTTCGCATTTCGTTCTCTTTTATCTGCTGCAGCTGCGTTTTCTTCGTGTCTATGAGGATTTGCTTCACGATCTCGGGTCGGATGTCCTTACATTCGTTCCTTGGTTGGAAGGAATTAAAAGTGGTACCACCGCGGTAGTTTCACTTACCGGTACTGCAGCTTGTGTTTCTCCTCCACTATTTTCATCCTTTCTTCTTCTCGTTGCGCCTTTAGTTTGACAGCGTTCATTCTCATTTCTTCTAGTTTCAAAGCCAGTCCTTGTTGTCCTTGAGTGATGGTTTCCCGGATAAATTCTTGCTCCTCTGCACAAAGCAAGAGCTTGAGTTTATTGCGGCGGACTTGGATTGTGTCTTCGTGGATTTTCAGTTTTTGTTTGAAACGCTCGTGAACGTTCCTTTGGAAGACGGTTTTCTCGCTGTGCTTATCGTATTTGGCTGTGGTTTTGTATCTCTTCCAACTCCACGGCCTCTTCAGCTGCCAATCTCTCTGTTTCTTGTTGCACGAGTTGTATACCCTGTGTCTGTTTATCCAGCACTTCTTTGGTTTCCATCGCCGCCTGGTGTTCCTTCAAAACTTCAGCCACTTCCCTCTCCATCTGCAAACCAACAAGTTACAATTATCACGTAAATCACACTTACTTGAGCCTCTAGGTTCTTCATCGTCACTGTGCCGTAAAACTTGTCCGTCTCCCGCTCCGTCTCTTTCCGCAGCTCATTTTGCTTCATCTACTCCAGCTGCACCTTCTGCACCTCCATTGCGTGTTTCTTCATCAGCAAATTCCTCACATCGTCGTCGTTGTTTCTAAACAAGACGATTCACAACGGTGCCGTGGCTACAATTCACTTATATCCAGTGCTGCATTTTCTTTTTCCTTGCCTCTTCCAGCAGCTGCGCTTCCCGTTGGAGCCGGTGTTGTCGCCCCGCCTCTAACTTTTCTTCAGTTTTGGACTGCGCCGCGTGTTGAGATCCGCTGATGGTTTCTCGGACGTGTTGTCGTTCCTCCGAGCACAGCAGCTGTCGTAGCTTCTCACGCCGCCTCTCGACGGCATCCTCGTACGCTTGCATCTTCTCGTGGAAGCGGTCTTTGACTTTCGCCGCGAACGTCCGTTGTTCTTTGCATTTCTTGTCTCGGATTATCTTCTCGGTTTGTCTGTTCAGGGCGGTTTCGTCTCTTTCCAGGTCGCGGAAGCCTCGCATGTGTTGGCGGTGGAAGAGGCGCAAGAGTTCGGTGGTGTCTCTGATCTTTTCAAACTGCAAGCAGCAGGGTTAATGGTTTGGTGTGGGGGAGACTTACATGGCCATAAGCGCCTGGTTTGAGACTAGGGAGGAGGACGTCTAACGTAGGTCCCCGGGATCGCTGTTTCGGCCGCCTTGCATGATTTGGTACGTCCATGGTACCCCAAAAACCCTTCTAAAAATAACCCCTAAAGTCTAATACTTTTGACAATACTACTACTGTCTACTAATGAACATGGCCAAGTAAGATCGATCGTCTGAAAAAGTTTGGTTTTCAAACTATGTTATTCGAATCTTAGGAAAATCCAAAAACTGTTGGTCAGAAAATAGATAAATTGTTAAACCAAGGATCTACAAAGTATTAATCTGGTTGCAAAAGCTCCACCTGAATAAATCATTTCATTGGCTCAGAAAAGAGTGGGGCGGAGTTTATAATTGTACCACATTGTGTCTACTTTCGGAAAAGTGATATTTGGGAAAAAAATTATTAAAAAATACGATTCTAACGATTATCAAAATAGAATTCAATCCCCATTAGAGTAGTAAGAGAACTTGGTGAAATGAATAAAGGAGAAGGGCGGGGCTGAATTTAGCTTTTCTCTACAAAGTCTTATCAGCAAACCCCACCCACCCACCCCCTCTTCATTCAAGTAATTACCCACAACATTGTTCAGTCTTATCTCAGCAAGTATTACCCCCGCCCACCCACCCTTTATTTTCTTATACGGTGTATCATTTGCCAAAATTATTATCTTAGCATGTACTAGTCCCGCCCACGCCCACTGTTTCCATTCTAACGATCTAACGATTTTATTTCTGCTCACTAAAAGATCCACCAGAATCGCCCATTGAAATATCGAAATATTTAGAAATTTCAAAAATTTCGAATTCCATTACGAATATTTCCAAAATGTTGCTCCGTGACCATAAACGCCGAATCGAGAGATAAGGATTTAGCAGTTAAACTCCGCCTCTTGACTCACAACGAATAAAAAAAAAGAGCACACTTGAGATAGGGCGGGTGGGCGGGGCTTATGCTTTGCTCTTTTTTCTTAATATGTGCAGACTTCTTTTTTGTAATTGCAAGATCCTTATTTTTCTGTGAGAAATTACCATGTGAAACATGTTCTTAAGTAATCGTTCAAAGGAAAACTATTTGCATTAAGTAAGAAAGAAAGCCACAAGATAAGCCCCACCCACTCGTCTTGACCTCCATCGTGATGAATTTTTGATTCGTTGTCAGACCGAGGGGCGGAGCGCAATTACATAATCGATATTTCCCTACTTTAAACACGTTTTAAGTTTCTTGTTGTAAAAAGAAGTCTACACATATTAAGAAAAAATGGCCAAACTTAAGCCCCGCCCACCCACCCTATCTCTGTTGTGCTGATTTTTTTATTCATCGTCGTCAAGAGGCGGAGTTTAACTGCCAAATCGTTGTCTCTACAGGAAATAACAAATATGTTTTTGAGTATCGTGTTGTTCAAAGAATACTATGTACATCAAGAAAAAAAAAAGCACAATATAAAACCCCGCCCACCCACCCTTCAATTGTGATGATTTTTTTATTCCTAGAAGGTTAAAACACGTGTAAAATGGCAATATTTTTTAAGAAAATATGGATTTTGCTATTAGGCTCCTCGTCTACCAACAAATGAAAAAAAGTATGGGTGGGACTTAATTTTTGGCTTTAATTTCCTCTTAATACACATAGTATTCTTTGAATAACACGATACTCAGAAACACGTTTTACATGGTAATTTCTTGTAGAGAAATTATAAGGATTTTGCAGTTAAATTCTGCGTCTTTGGCTCTCGATGTTTAAAAAAAATCATCACAATTGAGACAGGGTGGGTGGGCGGGGCTTATATTTTGCCTGTTTTCTTAATATAACGTAGTCGTCTTTTCAGAACAAGAAACTTAAAACATTAGTTTGAAATGGTAAATTCTTCTAGACAAACATGGATGTTGTAATTAAGCACCGCCCCTCGATCTGACAACGAATGAAAAATTCGCCACAGTTGAGAATTGAGATCGGGGCGGGTATGGGTGGAGCTTAATTTTGGCTTTATTTTTTTCTTAATATACATAGTATTCTTTGTACAGCACGATACTAAAAGACATGTTTTTAATTTCCGTAGAGAAACGAGGATTTTGCAGTTAAGTTCCGCCCCCTTGGCTCACGACGAATAAAAAAAATCATCACAACGGAGACAGGGCGGGTGGGCGGGGCTACATTTTGCCTTTTTTTATTAATATGTGTACTCTTCTTTTCACAACAAGAAATTTTTAATATAGTAAATTTTTGTAGGAAAGTATCGATTTTGCAATTAGACTCCGCCCCTCGGTCTGATGTTCATGACGATTGACATCGAGACGGATGGGGGGGCTTCTCTTTTAGTTTTCTTTCTATAACATGATTACTTTAGAACGTATTTTACATGGTAATTTCTCGTAGAAAAATAAGTATTTTACAATTAAGCTCCTCCCCTCTGCTTACGACGAACTAAAAATCATCAGAATTGAGATAGGATGGGCGGGCGGGGCTTATATTTAGCCTTTTTTTTCTTAATATACATAGCAATTTTTCACAACAAGAAACTTAAAAGATGGTTAAAATGGTTCATTTTTGCAAGGAAATATAGATTTTGCAATTATGGGGCGGAGCCTAATTGCAAAATCGGTATTTCCATATACAAATTTTCCATTTTTAACATGTTTTAAGTGTCGTGTTGTGAAAATAAGTCTACACATATTAAAACAGAAACGCAAAATGTAAAACCCACCCTCCCGCCCTATCTCAATTGTGATGATATTTTTTATTCGCCGTGAACCAAGAGGGCGGAGCTTAACTGCAAAATACTTATTTTTTCACAAGAAATTAAAAACATGTTTTTGAGTATCGTGTTGTTCAAAGAAAACTATGCACATTAAGAAAAAAAAGGCAAAATATAAACCCCGCCCACACGTCCCATTTCAATTGTGACGATTTTTTTTTCCTAGAAGCATAAAACACGTTTAAAATGGCAATTTTTTTAAGGTCTGCCAACGCATAAAAACTTCGAAAAAAAAAAGTATGGGTGGGACTTAATTTTTGGCTTTAATTTTTTCTTAATACACATAGTATTCTTTGAATAACACGATATTCAGAAACACGTTTTATATGGTAATTTCTTGTAGAGAAATTATAAAGATTTTGCAGTTAAATTCCGCTCCTTTGGCTCTCGATGTTTGAAAAAATCATCACAATTGAGGCTTATATTTTGCCTTTTTTCTTAATAGTCGTCTTTTCAGAACAAGAAACTTAAGACATGTTTAAAATGGTAAATTTGTATCAGGAAATCTCAATTTGCAATTAGGCTCCGCCCCATAATAGCAAAAGCAAAACTTAAAATGAATCACGGAAATGGAGGAATATTGGATGGGCGGGGTTAATTATTCGGTAGAGTGGGAATGGGAACTAATAGAACCTAGGTTGTTAAAAAAAGAAAAGACAGCGCTAATCGTAATTTTTTGTTATACTATATGCTATACGGATGGGTGGGCGTGGCTAATTTTAATTTCTTTCCACAGAGTCTTTTATAAGCAAGCAATATTATACTATAAGAAAAATTGTATTAAAAAAATATTTATTCAACTTTCGCAGTGCCAATAACATGATTGACCAAAACAGAATAGGGGTGGGTGGCCGGGGCCACTTTCGACCTTGTTTTAAATGTTAGATTCTACCGTTTGTCAAAATAAAATTCAGTTGCCATTTTACAATAAATAAAAGAAGTTGGTGAAATGGAGGCGTGGTGGGTGGGCGGGGTTAATTATTCGGTAGAATGAGAATGAAAACTAATAGAACCTAGGCTGTTAAAAAGAAAAAAAAAGGCGCTAATCGTATGCTACAAGATTTAGTTCTTATTTCAGAAGACAAAAAATTCTCCTGGCTCCACCTACCCTGTGCAGCTCCTCCTTCGCCCTCTTCAATTTACAGTACAGCCTCTTGCTTTTCCTCCACCAGCTTCTTGTCTCCTCTAGTTCTTAAAAAAAAACCCAACGAATTTTTGAGCTTACCAGAAGAGTTTTGAGGTGGAATAAAACAATTCTTTTGTATGAAAAACACTTTATTTATTGTCAGTCGGACTGGTACAAGGACACGTTTGCTTAGTCAAAACACGTCGAAAAGGATGCACGTGCTCTGGCGCCTGTGCCCTCACCAGCTCCAAGATGTATTGTCGCCGACGTTCCTCTTCGGCATAAGTCTCTGCTAAGTCTCGCTGCAGCTGCTCCTTTTCCAATTTCTAGTAAAAAACCACCAACAAATCACATAGTTGAAACCCCGCCCACTTACCCTCTTCTCATTCGTGTATTCCATCTGCCTCTTCAACTCCTCCCTGTACTCCTTCACTTGCTCCGCCTGCAATCTGTCACTCTCCGCCTGCAACCTCTCATTGGTCTCGCACGTCATTCTAATCAACTCGTTCTCGGCTTGCTTCAACTTCGACTGCTTCTCAGCTTCTTGTTTCTTGTACTCTAATTGTTGTGCCCGTTCGGCCAACACGTTCTGCAACAACCAACTACAATTTTATCGTGTCGTGGCTCCACCTACCTTCTGCAGCTCCTCCTTCGCCCTCTTCAACTTACAGTACGCCTCCTCTTGCTTCTCTTCAACTAACTTCTTGTGCTCTGCCAGCACTCTCCTCAAATGCTCATCTTCCTTCTTTCTTTCCTCCTCTAGTTCTTTCAAGTGTTGGCGATAAATCGCAGCCTCGCGCCTGGCTTTGGCCGTGGTCACTTGAATCCCGTGCACCTCGCGCTCGATCTCGCGACTCGCCAACTCAGCCATAGCTTTATTTAGAGCGTCCTCTTCGGTCTTCCTCTGCGCTATGTACTTCTCCTGGAGGAGAATCTGCTCCTTGAGCTCCTTCGCCACTTGTTCGCGTTTTCGTTTCTTCAACTCCAGGGTTTTCATTTGCTCGAGCTTGATTTCCTCTTGGAGTTTGATCATTTCTAAGCGGTCTTCAACTGCGATTTTTCCCGCTTCTTGTTTAAGGAGTTGCTTGCCGAGGATTTGTTTCTCCCACGTCTGCATAGTTTCTTTCTGGGTGAGGTCCTTCTTCAGCAAGGTTTGCATTTCGCTTTCAGCCTAAAAAAACAAGAGTGAGTATTTGGGTACGACATGACCAAACGTACTTTAGCTTGTTGTTCCTTCACCATGAGGTCGTACCACATACTGTTGAGCTCCCTCTCCGCCTCTCTTCGCATTTCGTTCTCTTTTATCTGCTGCAGCTGCGTTTTCTTCGTGTCTATGAGGTTTTGCTTCACGATTTCGGGTCGGATGTCCTTACATTCGTTCCTTGGTTGGAAAGAATTAAAAGTGGTACCACCGCGGTAGTTTCACTTACCGGTACTGCAGCTTGCGTTTCTCTTCCACTATTTTCATCCTTTCTTCTTCTCGTTGCGCCTTTAGTTTCACAGCGTTCATTCTCATTTCTTCTAGTTTCAAAGCCAGTCCTTGTTGTCGTTGAATGATGGTTTCCCGGATAAATTCTTGCTCCTCTGCACAAAGCAAGAGCTTGAGTTTATTGCGGCAGACTTGGATTGTGTCTTCGTGGATTTTCAGTTTTTGTTTGAAACGCTCGTGAACGTTCCTTTGGAAGACGGTTTTCTCGCTGTGCTTATCGTATTTGGCTGTGGTTTTGTATCTCTTCGCGTCTAAGTTGTTCGCGGAGTGTAACCAACTCCACGACCTCTTCAGCAGGCAATCTCTCTGCTTCTTGTTGCACAAGTTGTATACCCTGTATCTGTTTATCCAGCACTTCCTTGGTTTCCATCGCCGCCTGGTGTTTGTTCTCAACTTCACCCACTTCCCTCTCCATCTGCAAACCAACAAGTTACAATTATCACGTAAATCACACTTACTTGAGCCTGTTGGTTCTTCATCGTCACTGCGGCGTAAAACTTGTCCGTCTCCCGCTCCGTCTCTTTCCGCAGCTCATTTTTCTTCATCCGCTCCAGCTGCACCTTCTACACCTCCATTGCGTGTTTATTCGCCAGCAAATTTCTCACATCGTCGTCGTTGTTTCTAAACAAAACGATTCACAACAGTGCCGTGGCTAAAATTCACTTACATCCAGTGCTGCATTTTCTTTTTCCTTGCCTCTTCCAGCAGCTGCGCTTCCCGTTGGAGCCGGTGTTGTCGCCCCGCCTCTAACTTTTCTTCAGTTTTGGACTGCGCCGCATGTTGAGATCGGCTGATCGTTTCTCGGACCATGGCCGACTAGTATAAAGATTATGGCCTGTCCAAGAGGTACGATACGTGTTGCCATCTATTAATAATTACACTTAATAATTTAGCAAAATTTTAATTTGACTTGACATTATGGGACTTCAAAACGTGTAATGGTGGTTTGTTTCGGTATGAATGCCTTTGTGCCTTTCAAAAGGTGTTAATAATTCTTTTGTCGTTTTTGAATTATTAATAGATGGCAGCACGTAATGTACCTTTGACATTCCTTTGGACAGGCCATAATCTTTATACTAGTCGGCCATGCTCGGACGTATTGTCGTTCCTCCGAGCACAGCAGCTGTCGTAGCTTCTCACGCCGCTTCTCGACGGCGTCCTCGTACGCTTGCATCTTCTCGTGGAAGCGGTCTTTGACTTTCGCCGCGAAGGTCCGTTGTTCTTTGCATTTCTTGTCTCGGATTATCTTCTCGGTTTGTCTGTTCAGGGCGGTTTCGTCTCTTTCCAGGTCGCGGAAGCCTCGCATGTGTTGGCGGTGGAAGAGGCGCAAGAGTTCGGTGGTGTCTCTGATCTTTTCAAACTGCAAGCAGCAGGGTTAATGGTTTGGTGTGGGGGAGACTTACGTGGCCATAAGCGCCTGGTTTGACACTAGGGAGGAGGACGTCTACCGTAGGTCCCTTGGATCGCCGTATCGGCCGCCTTGCATGATTTGGTACGTCCATGGTACCCCAAAAACCCTTCTAAAAATAACCCCTAAAGTCTAATACTTTGACAATACTACTACTGTCTACTAATGAACATGGCCAAGTAAGATCGATCGTCTGAAAAAATTTGGTTTTCAAACTATGTTATTCGAATCTTAGGAAAATCCAAAAACTGTTGGTCAGAAAATAGATAAATTGTTAAACGAAGGATCTACAAAGTATTAATCTGGTTGCAAAAGCTCCACCTGAATAAATCATTTCATTGGCTCAGAAAAGAGTGGGGCGGAGTTTATAATTGTACCACATTGTGTCTATTTTCGGAAAAGTGATCCTTGGGAAAAAAATTAGTAAAAAATACGATTCTAACGATTATCAAAATAGAATTCAATCCCAATTAGAGTAAGTAAGAGAAGTTGGTGAAATGAATAAAGGCGAAGGGCGGGGCTGAATTTAGCTTTTCTCTACAAAGTCTTATAAGCAAGCCCCACCCACCCACCCCCTCTTCATTCTAGTAACTACCCACAATATTGTTCAGTCTTATCTCAGCAAGTATTAGCCCCGCCCACCCACCCTTTATTTTCTTATACGGTGTATCATTTGCCAAAATTATTATCTTAGTATGTACTAGTCCCGCCCACGCCCACTGTTTCCATTCTAACGATTTTATTTCTGCTCAGTTGAAGATCCACCAGAATCGCCCATTGAAATATCGAAATATTTAGCAATTTCAAAAATTTCGAATTCCATTACGAATATTTCCAAAATGTTGCTCGGTGACCATAAACGCCGAATCCAGAGATAAGGATTTTACAGTTAAACTCCGCCTCTTGACTCACAACGAATAAAAAAAAAGAGCACAATTGAGATAGGGCGGGTGGGCGGGGCTTACTCTTTGCTCTTTTTTCTTAATATGTGTAGAATTCTTTTTTGTTTAATTGCAAGATCCTTATTTTTCTGTGAGAAATTACCATGTGAAACATGCTCTTAAGTAATGGTTCAAAGGAAAACTATTTGCATTAAGTAAGAAAGAAAGCCACAAGATAAGCCCCACCCACTCGTGTCGACCTCCATCGTGATGAATTTTTGATTGAGGGGCGGAGCGCAATTACATAATCGATATTTCCCTATTTTAAACACGTTTTAAGTTTCTTGTTGTAAAAAGAAGTCTACACATATTAAGAAAAAATGGCCAAATTTAAGCCCCGCCCACCCACCCTGTCTCTGTTGTGCTGATTTTTTTATTCGTCGTCGTCAAGAGGCGGAATTTAGCTGCAAAATCGTTGTCTCTACAGGAAATAACAAACATGTTTTTGAGTATCGTGTTGTTCAACGAATACTATGTACATCAAGCAAAAAAAAGCACAATATAAAATCCGGCCACCCACCCCCTCTCAATTGTGATGATTTTTTTCATTCCTAGAAGCTTAAAACACGTGTAAAATGGCAAGGAAATATGGATTTTGCAATTAGGCTTCTCCCCTAAGTCTGCCAACGAATGAAAAAAAGTATAGGTGGGATTTAATTTTTGGCTTTAATTTCCTATACACATAGTATTCTTTGAGTAACATGATACTCATAAACACGTCCTACATGGTAATTTCTTGTAGAGAAATTATAAGGATTTTGCAGTTAAATTCTGCGCCTTTGGCTCTTGATGTTTAAAAAAAATCATCACAATTGAGACAGGGTGGGTGGGCGGGGCTTATGTTTTGCCTGTTTTCTTAATATACGTAGTCGTCTTTTCAGAACAAGAAACTTAAAACATGTTTAAAATGGTAAATTCTTCTAGGCAAATATGGATGTTGTAATTAAGCCCCGTCCCTCGATCTGACAACGAATGAAAAATTCGTCACAGTTGAGAATTGAGATCGGGGCGGGTATGGGTGGAGCTTAATTTTGGCTTTATTTTTTTCTTAATATACATAGTATTCTTTGTACAGCACGATACTAAAAGACATGTTTTTAATTTCCGTAGAGAAACGAGGATTTTGCAGTTAAGTTCCGCCCCCTTGGCTCACGACGAATAAAAAAAATCATCACAAGGGAGACAGGGCGGGTGGGCGGGGCTACATTTTGCCTTTTTTTATTAATATGTGTACTCTTCTTTTCACAACAAGAAATTTTTAATATAGTAAATTTTTGTAGGAAAGTATCGATTTTGCAATTAGACTCCGCCCCTCGGTCTGATGTTCATGACGATTGACATCGAGACGGATGGGGGGGCTTCTCATTTAGTTTTCTTTCTATAACATGATTACTTTTGAACGTATTTTACATGGTAATTTCTCGTAGAAAAATAAGTATTTTACAATTAAGCTCCTCCCCTCTGCTTACGACGAACTAAAAATCATCAGAATTGAGATAGGATGGGCGGGCGGGGCTTATATTTAGCCTTTTTTTTCTTAATATACATAGCAATTTTTCACAACAAGAAACTTAAAAGATGGTTAAAATGGTTCATTTTTGCAAGGAAATATAAATTTTGCAATTATGGGGCGGAGCCTAATTGCAAAATCGGTATTTCCATATACAAATTTTCCATTTTTAACATGTTTTAAGTGTCGTGTTGTGAAAATAAGTCTACATATTAAAACAGAAACGCAAAATCTAAAACCCACCCTCCCGCCCTATCTCAATTGTGATGATATTTTTTATTCGCCGTGAACCAAGAGGGCGGAGCTTAACTGCAAAATACTTATTTTTTCACAAGAAATTAAAAACATGTTTTTGAGTATCGTGTTGTTCAAAGAAAACTATGCACATTAAGAAAAAAAAGGCAAAATATAAACCCCGCCCACACGTCCCATTTCAATTGTGACGATTTTTTTTTCCTAGAAGCATAAAACACGTTTAAAATGGCAATTTTTTTAAGGTCTGCCAACGCATAAAAACTTCGAAAAAAAAAAGTATGGGTGGGACTTAATTTTTGGCTTTAATTTTTTCTTAATACACATAGTATTCTTTGAATAACACGATATTCAGAAACACGTTTTACATGGTAATTTCTTGTAGAGAAATTATAAGGATTTTGCAGTTAAATTCCGCTCCTTTGGCTCTCGATGTTTGAAAAAATCATCACAATTGAGGCTTATATTTTGCCTTTTTTCTTAATAGTCGTCTTTTCAGAACAAGAAACTTAAGACATGTTTAAAATGGTAAATTTGTATCAGGAAATCTCAATTTGCAATTAGGCTCCGCCCCATAATAGCAAAAGCAAAACTTAAAATGAATCACGGAAATGGAGGAATATTAGATGGGCGGGGTTAATTATTCGGTAGAGTGGGAATGGGAACTAATAGAACCTAGGTTGTTAAAAAAAGAAAAGACAGCGCTAATCGTAATTTTTTGTTATACTATATGCTATACGGATGGGTGGGCGTGGCTAATTTTAATTTCTTTCCACAGAGTCTTTTATAAGCAAGCAATATTATACTATAAGAAAAATTGTATTAAAAAAATATTTATTCAACTTTCGCAGTGCCAATAACATGATTGACCAAAACAGAATAGGGGTGGGTGGGCGGGGCCACTTTCGACCTTGTTTTAAATGTTAGATTCTACCGTTTGTCAAAATAGAATTCAGTTGCCATTTTACAATAAATAAAAGAAGTTGGTGAAATGGAGGCGTGGTGGGTGGGCGGGGTTAATTATTCGGTAGAATGAGAATGAAAACTAATAGAACCTAGGCTGTTAAAAAGAAAAAAAAAGGCGCTAATCGTATGCTACAAGATTTAGTTCTTATTTCAGAAGACAAAAAATTCTCCTGGCTCCACCTAACCTGTGCAGCTTTTCCTTCGTCCTCTTCAACTTACAATGCAGCCTCTTGCTTTTCCTCCACCAGCTTCTTGTCTCCTCTAGTTCTTAAAAAAAACAACGAATGTTTGAGCTACCAGAAAAGTTTGAAGGTGGAATAAAACAATTCTTTTGTATGAAAAATACTTTATTTATTGTCAGTCGGACTGGTACAAGGACACGTTTGCTTAGTCAAAACACGTCGAAAAGGATGCACGTGCTCTGGCGCCTGTGCCCTCACCAACTCCAAGATGTACTGTCGCCGACGTTCCTCTTCGGCATAAGTCTCTGCTAAGTCTCGCTGCAGCTGCTCCTTTTCCAATTTCTAGTAAAAAACCACCAACAAATCACATAGTTGAAATCCCGCCCACTTACCCTCTTCTCATTCGTGTATTCCATCTGCCTCTTCAACTCCTCCCGGTACTCCTTCACTTGCTCCGCCTGCAATCTGTCACTCTCCGCCTGCAACCTCTCATTGGTCTCGCACGTCATTCTAATCAACTCGTTCTCGGCTTGCTTCAACTTCGACTGCTTCTCAGCTTCTTGTTTCTTGTACTCTAATTGTTGTGCCCGCTCGGCCAACACGTTCTGCAACAACCAACTACAATTTTATCGTGTCGTGGCTCCACCTACCTTCTGCAGCTCCTCCTTCGCCCTCTTCAACTTACAGTACGCCTCCTCTTGCTTTTCTTCTACTAACTTCTTGTGCTCTGCCAACACTCTCCTCAAATGCTCATCTTCCTTCTTTCTTTCTTCCTCTAGCTCTTTCAAGTGTTGGCGATAAATCGCAGCCTCGCGCCTGGCTTTGGCCGTGGTCACTTGAATCCCGTGCACCTCGCGCTCGATCTCGCGACTCGCCAACTCAGCCATAGCTTTATTTAGAGCGTCCTCTTCGGTTTTCCTCTGCGCTATGTACTTCTCCTGGAGGAGAATCTGCTCCTTGAGCTCCTTCGCCACTTGTTCGCGTTTTCGTTTCTTCAACTCCAGGGTTTCCATTTGCTCGAGCTTGATTTCCTCCTGGAGTTTGATCATTTCTAAACGGTCTTCAACGGCGATTTTTCCCGCTTCTTGTTTAAGGAGTTGCTTGCCGAGGATTTGTTTCTCCCACGTCTGCATAGTTTCTTTCTGGGTGAGGTGATTCTTCAGCAAGGTTTGCATTTCGCTTTCAGCCTAAAAAAACAAGAGTGAGTATTTGGGTACGACTTGACCAAACGTACTTTAGCTTGTTGTTCCTTCACCATCAGGTCGTACCACATACTGTTGAGCTCCCTCTCCGCCTCTCTTCGCATTTCGTTCTCTTTTATCTGCTGCAGCTGCGTTTTCTTCGTGTCTATGAGGTTTTGCTTCACGATTTCGGGTCGGATGTCCTTACATTCGTTTCTTGGTTGGAAAAAATTAAAAGTGGTACCACCGCGGTAGTTGCACTTACCGGTACTGCAGCTTGCGTTTCTCCTCCACTATTTTCATCCTTTCTTCTTCTCGTTGCGCCTTTAGTTTCACGGCGTTCATTCTCATTTCTTCTAGTTTCAAAGCCAGTCCTTGTTGTCCTTGAGTGATGGTTTCCCGGATAAATTCTTGCTCCTCTGCACAAAGCAAGAGCTTGAGTTTATTGCGGCGGACTTGGATTGTGTCTTCGTATTTTTGCAGCTTTTGTTTGAAACGCTCGTGGATGTTCCTTTGGAAGACGGTTTTCTCGCTGTGCTTATCGTATTTGGCGGTGGTTTTTTCTTTGTTTAGGCGTTTGGCTTCGGCTGCTAGTAGCTCGGCGCCGGCGTCGTGGGTACGTTGGCGGTAGTGCAACCACTTGATATGGAAGTCGGTGTTGGGAGCTCGAGCCACCTGGAAAATCACAATTTTAAGAAACTATTTAACGAATTGAGTTTGTGCTTACATGGGCGTAGTTCCCCGGGTCGATATTCGGTAGTTGAATATCGTACGTCATCGGCTTCGGTCTCAACCTCTTCACATACTTAGGCCTCTCCAAAGCCCCTCCAAACATCTCGTTTCTCTCACAAACTCGAAAAACGCACAATTATCGCAGATTTGTCAATCTCAACAACTTGACATTACTATTCTATTATTCTATTAAATCAATATTTACCATAGAGACCCCCACCACGCGAAAATCGAATTTAATTGCACCCTCGTGTGCGAGCAACAACACTCCGACACCCTATCCATCAACCTGCGATGGGTCGAATTTACCATGCGCCTGACCAGCCACAACGTGCCCGCTCTCAGTCACCCAGCGCGGCGCGAACCATGAGGACCCATCCCGAACCATGGATATAACATCCACGAAAATCCTAGTGGCCGCTCTGTTCGGCATCCTCCGGTTCTTCTTCGGGATTTTACCAGTGAAACTGTACAAGGTGTTGTTGCACTGGGAAGAACAGGATGACTCGGGACACTTCATCAACAAAAAGAGGCATCAACAGGTCATGTGTACCCTAGCGCTATGCCAGTCCTTCGGTGGAGGCGTTCTCTTCGCGACGTGTTTCCTCCACATGATGCCCGATGTGTACACATCAGTCGAAGAACTGAAGAAATTCGGCAACATCAACACGGAGTACCCGTTGTCACAAATGACAATCTCGTTAGGGTTCTTCTTCGTGTACTTCGTCGAGGAGTTCTCGCACTGGTTCGTCACGAGAGTAGACGACTGCGACGCTAAACGTAAAGTGTCAACTCCGACTTCTGCCAACAAAGTCGTACCACAGAACGCCTTTACCATAGAAAGCGCATCTGAAGTCAAAGTGGTACCACCCAAGAGTGCCTTCATCATAGAAGACGACGTATACAACGAGAAAGCCGACAATGTGTCAGACACGTACAGTGTGACCACGGAAGTGATCAAAGAGAACGAAAAGAACCACCAGAAGTCGCTGGATCTAGACGAAGAACTAGAGCAAGTGGAACCTCTGGAGGAAGAAGCGGAAAAAGAAGCCAAAAGCAAGCAACAAATCGTGCGCTATCTCCTCGTGGTGATCGCGCTATCCCTGCATGCTTTCTTCGAAGGACTTGCTATAGGCCTCCAACACTCAGTTGCCAACATTTGGTACCTTTTCATAGCGGTGTCAATCCACTCCGCGACGATTCTCTTCTACATCAGTCTGGAGTTAGTACTGGCGAAAACCCAGCTGAAGAGGATCATGATTCATGTTTCTATTCTCTCGTTCACGAGTCCAGTGGGTGTTTTGTTGGGGCTTTTGATAACCCAGAACGCGAATATGAACACTCAAGCCAAGTCGACGGCGGTGGTACTGCTGGAAGGTTTGTCGGCTGGTACTATTTTGTACATAACGTTCTTTGAAGTTTTAAATAGAGAAAAGGAGCGTAGGGCGTGGGTTCTACGAAGGGCGATTTGTATTCTAAGCGGGTTTGTCCTAATGGCGGTACTTCAGTGTGCTGAAATGTACATAGAATAGAGTGATTAAATAAAGTGTATTTTTCTAAGAATGGGTGGTCATTTGTTGTTATTGTTGCAACTCGTATTTATTAAAATTGCTCTTTTTATCGAGAACGAAGTCGTTTAATCAGGATCGATTATTCGACGTGGAGGTCGAGGTTAATGTTAGTTTGCGGTACTCGGGAATTATGGAAGATGACAAATGTGGGATTTGGTTCCATTAAAATGTAAAGTTAGATAAGTATGTCACTGAGGTAATCGATTTCACATACTGTGTATTTTTAATAGACGAAACTATTTCGGGCGATGGTAGGTGGTCTGAGACAATTACTGGTTTGGGATTTTTATTAAAAATTCAAAGACGCTATAAATAGAAAGACTGGTTAAAAATGGTTACTTTGGGGACTTCATTAAACGAAAGGTTTTTCGTGTTATTGGATTGTTTGTATGCATTTATTAATGTCGTGTTTAATGGATGATAAACTTGGTTACTTCATTATTGTTGTGTTATCGAATTATCTAATTTTGTGTCGGTAATATAATATTCTTAAGAGACATCGTAGTTGCGTGTTGTTAAAAGCTTTGAGGGTAATGAATTCGGCCCAGGACATTTGCACTTTAATGTAGGACATGGAACGGCTTTGTAAAACAATAAACTTGTCGAATTATTTTTTATGGATGGATTTTTCGTGTAAAAAAAAGTTTTTAAATATTAATGACCGATCTGATAAAATACTTATTGATTATGCTTTAAAGTTTTAATTTCAACCTAAATTTACTGGCCATTGTTTCTGGAAGTGTTCGCCTCTTTTCTAACTAATTCCTACATAAATCTTCTTCGAGTGTGACCATGTTAGTTTGAAGAGCAACGGCAACAAAATCCTAGGGTTTGCTTTCACTTGCCTTGTTTTATTTAGATCATGGATTTCATTATGGTACTCATCAGTCTGAATAGTCTGATAAAGTATGTCATTTTGATACTCAAATTAGCGTTCATCATGTTGTCGTTACGATATAGACTAACAGATAAAATACAGTACAGTAATTACATAAAAAAAATCATCAGAAGTCGATTTTGCTTCCTACGCGTAAGGTTATCGTCAGAATCGTAAATCGTTAATCAAAGTTGATTCCCAAAAAATTTATGAATTATTTTTAATTATTCGATTTTTGAATTTTTCAAGTTTTTGATTTTTCATTTTTTTATTTACCCTTTTCTCGATTTTTATATAACAATGTTTCGTTTTTCGTTTCCTTTATTTTTTCAATGTTTCTTTCGATTTTATAATTTTTCGCTTATTAAATTTTTCAAATTTTGATTATGTAATCCTCGATTTTCCAATTTTTGAATTATTCAGTTTTGCATTTTTTGGATTTCTCGATGATCCGATTTTCCGATTTCGTTAATTTTCAGTATTTCGATTTTTAGATTTTTAAGTTTCTCGTTTTATATTTCTTTGTTTTTTCATTTTTGATTCTACTTTTTACGAAAAGGTGAAAAGTCAAAAAAAATGAAAATTCAAAAAATTGAAAAACTGGAAAATTGAAAAATTAAAAATCGAAAAATTTGCAAACCGAAAAATCTAAATCAGAGAAGTCATAAAATCGAAATATCTACATATAATTTAGAAATCGAAACAATAAAAAATTTAAAAATCTAAAATTCATTATAATAAGTATAAGAAGTCGAAAGATCGAAAAGCCGAAAAATTTTAAAAAACGAAAAACCGAGATGTTAGAAAATCGAAAAATCGAAAAATTGAAATATATGTTTAAAAAATTTTAAAATGCCAACAATATTTATGTATCAATATTTAAATTTTACAATACTTCGTTTTTTCCAGTCTGCACTTTTTCGATTTTTAAGTTTCTCAATTTTTAATCTTTAGATTTTTCAATTTGTCGTTTCTTCAATTTTTCAAGTCCTTGTTTTCCAATTTTTAAATTTTTCAGAGTTTTCGTTTTATATTTTTTTGTTTTTTAAATTTTTGCATTCACAATTTTGTAACTTTCGAATTTTTTGTATTCGAAAAGATGAAAAATCAAAACAATTGAAAAATCGAAAAATTAAAAAACTGGAAAATTGAAAAATTAAAAATCGAAAAATTTACAAACCGAAAAATCCAAAACAGAAAAGTCATAAAATCGAAATATCGAAACAATAAAAAATTGAAAAATCTAAAATTTAAAAATTCGACAAACTGAAAAATAAAAAAATCGAGGAGCTGAAAAATTGAAAAATCGAGAAAACGAAAAATGAAAATATCGAAAAATTGATGGATCGAGAAGTCGAAAGATCGAAAAACCGAAAAATTTTAATAAGCGAAAAACCGAGATGTCAACAAATCGAAAATTCGAAACATCGAAAAACTGAAGTATACATAATTATATTTAAAAAAATTAAAAATGGGAAAATTAAAAAGTCAAAAAGAAGAAGAAATATAAACATCTAAAAATTAAAAAATCGAAAAATAGAAGAACAAAGAATTGAAAAATTGCAAAATCTAGAAATATCAAAATCCTAACACAAATGACGAAAAATTGAGAAATCGAAACATTGAAAATAGGAAAATCCAAAAATAGAAAAAAAAAATCGAAAAACCGAAAAATTGAGAAATTGAAACATCGAGAAATCCAAACATGAGAAGATCGAGAAATCAAAAAATTGAAAAATCAGGAAACTGAGCAATGGAATAACCGAAACGTCGAAATCTCGATAAATCCTAAAATAAAAAAAAAATAAAAATTGTAATTATTACTACATATCTGGATTCTGGATTCTTAATTTATGGGGGCTGACCGTAGCCAGCCGGCACTTAGGCCTCGCCTTTGGGCCCATTGTACCTTCCCCAAGTCCATATCAGGGTGTTTTCCCGCTCCTCTACTCGTCAAGCCATCCAACTGCTTGAATGTACTTGAGTAATGCAGAGGGTGGAAACTCCCTGATATTTGCCATACTAGGCCAGATGTCCCCTAGTATGGATTCCCTGTAGGAGGCTAGGGCTGGACACTCACGAAGAATGTGCTCAGCTGTTTCCTCTTCTTCATTGCATCCACGACAGATTGGGTCTGTTGCTACCCCTATCGTATGTAGATGTTTGTTAAACTGGTAATGTCCCGTAAGGAATCCTACCAGTTTACGCAGTTTGTCCCTTGAAAGTGAGAGATAAAATTTTGTCAACTTACGGTCTGGTGTCGCCATACAAGCTCTACTATGCCGACAGCTGCTCAACGTCGCCCATATCTGCTCATGGCGTCTATGGGTATATTGCTTTACGAGTTCGTTCGAGAGGGCGACCGAAGGCGTGATTGCCGGTTCGGGTCCCCAGAAGGGCATACGCGCGGCTCGCTTCGCCATCTCATCTGCCCTCTCGTTTCCTTCGTTGCCACTGTGTCCTTTGATCCAACAAAGTACCACTCTATTCCTCTGCGTTACATACTTTAGCGTTTGTCTGCACTCCCAAACCAGCCCGGATCGAACCATACAGCTGTCCAGGGCTAGTAGTGCAGACTTGCTGTCAGTAAGTATGCGTATTGATTTGTTGCCGATTTCACGTTCAGCAATGATTCTAGCTCCCAGCATTATTCCCATCAATTCTGTTTGTAAGACAGACGTGTGGGTGCCGAGAGGTACACTGATTTGTGCGTTCAGTTGTTCGGAGTAGATGCCGGCTCCTGAACCACTATCTGTTTTGGCACCATCGACATAGATATCTATGTCGGCTCGTCCTTCTGAATTATCACTCATTGATATTCTATATGTCTTCTCATATATTAATTTTGTGCCCATTCGGTCACAACCCATCCTCAACAAGGGTATTCTGTTGAACGCCTCCGTTAAGATCCGAGTGTGCTTCGTTGTGCGGCCTTGCTTGTTCCATACTCCCAGAGAGTGAAGTCTTAGAGACGTCGTCATTGCCGCTTCCTCTATGTAAAGGTTGAGAGGTGCTAAGCAAAGAAGAGTCTCCAGAGCCGCTGTGGGAGTGGTCCTCATTGCTCCTGTAACACTGAGACACGCCATTCTCTGAACGTGTTCAAGTTGCAGGGCTGTTGTTTTTTGTCTGGCTCTGGGCCACCAAACTAAAGCTCCATAGCACAGCATCGGTCTGACTATTGCCGTGTAGATCCAAAGGGCGATCTTGGGATTTAAACCCCACGACCTTCCCACCACCCTACGACATTGCCAGAGAGCCGAGCGTGCCTTTTCTACTTTATCATCTACATGCTTCTTCCAATTCAGTCGCCAGTCCAATACAACTCCCAGGTATTTGACTTCGTCCGAAAGTTGAAGCGTTGTGTTAAATATTTTTGGCATCTGTAGTGTGCCAATTTTCCTTTTCCTGGTGAACAGGATTAGTTTCGTCTTTTCTCCATTAACGGAGAGGGTATGTCTGTTGCACCATTCCTCGACTATTTTTACTGCAGCTTGCATTATCTCACATAATGTATCTGCGTTTTTTCCTGTTAGCAGAATGACTAGATCGTCCGCGTATCCAATTGTGTGGTAGCCAAGATCATTGAGGCGTCGTATCAGGCTGTCAACGACAGTATCCCACAGTACAGGAGAGAGAACTCCTCCCTGAGGACATCCCCTGTCTACAACAGCCTCGATCTCAGTGCCACCTACATTAATCATTACTTCCCTGTTCCTCAGCATACTGGCCACCCACCTACTTAGGGTGGGGTCCACGTCGTGCTTTCGTAGGGCTAGTTCTATGCTTTTGAAGGTCGTTTTATCAAACGCTCCTTCAATATCCAAAAACATTCCTAAGGTGAAGAGTTTGTTCTCCATCGCCCACTCTATACGGTTTACAACTGTGTGTAGGGCCGTATCGGTGGATCTTCCTTGGATGTAGGCATGTTGGTTCGGATGTAGAGGTTGCTTGCTCAAAGCAGTCTCCCGAATCTCTTTTTCGCTTAGTCTTTCTAGCGTTTTCAGCAAGAATGATGTTAAGCTAATTGGTCTGTAGGATTTAGCCAAGGTGTAATCTTGTCGTCCTGGCTTAGGTATAAAGATAA